CTCCAGCCGCCGCCGCCGCACGGTGAGTACCTGCGACCCACAGCCCTTCGTCCCTGCGCCCCGCCGCTCAGTTCTTTTTCGTTTAGTTGTGATGTGGGCTCTCATGGTTGTTTTTATCATACCCACCACTCCACCGCCAGGCTCTCACCGCTGCCCGCCTCCCGCCCGCTTACCCTCCGCCAGCTCGCCCTGACGTCCCGGGAGCCAGCGAGGATTTCCCGAGCTGCCCTGGCCGTCGCTCCTCATCACTGAGCTCGGCCCTTCGCCGGTGCTTTCTGCTTTGGCCCCTCAAAATGCTATTCCTTTCCTAGGGCCCTCTTCTTCTGGCTCCAGGGCCCAGAGCCCCTTTATTTCACTCGGGGAAAACCCCGCGGGGACCTGGGACGCTCAGCGCTGGGCTCTGGAGTGCTCTCTTCACTGGATGCGGGCCCGGGCACACTTGCGGGTTTCGGGAAAGCGAGAAGCCATAGTCATTTCCCAGAGTCGCGCGCCCCCAGCCACGTATGGAGCCTGCCTGAGAGCCCTCCCTGGGGGCGCGGGCTTGTCTTGTTGACCCAACAGCCAGGGAGTTAGGACCGAGGTTTTGCCTGCTACAATGCTACCAGGGACTTCAACGCCACGGGAGGGTCAACTTGTTTCAGTTTTATTCGAAGAGATAAAGATGAAATATAGTAGATAAACAGCTTGATTCTTGAAGAAGGTACAAGACAGATGGGAGAAACACGAGCGAACTGGCAGAGACAGACAGCTCAGGGACAGATGAGATCAACGCATCAAGAGCACAGAAATAAACTGGGAAGGAGGGTGGGGCGGACAAACGATTTCAGTCTCTTCACCTCACCGAAGGCTTTTGAACTTGGACCCTCTGAGTGGTTGAAGTTGCCCCTCTGAAAATGGATTTGCCTTTCTGGCCGAGTTTAGAGGGGGAGCCCTCCAGGTGGGGCTGCCCGGTCTTTAGGAGCACCTGCAGCCACCCCCCCCCATTAGAGCCTCGTGTGTCTGAGGACACGTGGCTGGGCCGGGCATCCTAAAAGACCCCAAATGTCAGTCCCCAGGTCTGGCTCCAAGCAGCTGCTGAGGTCTGCAGGC